GAACCTGAGACATATCTAACTTTGTAATTAAATCTTAGGCGTATATATAAATATATATATATATATATATATATAAATGTAAGATTAAAAATAAAGCGGGAAAGAGAAGATGTGAGAATAGAAAGGAGGAGGGAGAAGCGACACCAGGGCGCTTTGTATCGTAGCGGATTATGTACAGAATATTTGAATCTTTCTTGTGATATAATCGTACACATTACTAAGGTGTAAACCGATAAAAAAAATACACTATACATTCCATGTTTTTTCATAGAAATGAAGTATTAGCGAGGTGATCGTACAGCGTGACCGGCTTGTTGCCGTAGGATTGAACCATGCTACGAAGACTCGCGTCTTCTCGTGGTGTTAGAGGCGGCTCTTGGACTGGCAAAGCTTTTAGATAAAAAAAAAATATAAAAAAAATAAAAAAAAAACTCACACTGCTGTGTTGTCAAGATCCAATGTGACATTCTTTATACCAAGAATGAGACTCTCGAGAGAATCTCACTCCTTTACATGCGCATTCTTACCATTTACACGAGATCATGGATATCTTACGCAGATTTCTCGTATAAGCGAATTTTCCTCGAGCACTCATATGGACTTCTCATATGTAACTTCTTGTATAGCTTACAGTGGAGTCGCCTCTGCACTATAAAGCGTAAGACAATTTTGTAAATGTTAAAACGCATTCCAATATTTATATAAATCTGGCGCTCCGATATATTCCGTACTTCCTACATAATTTCACGTTTATACGCCATATTTTGCAAATAACGCAATTCTTCATTAATAATATAGCACGTTATTAATTCAGAAGACATCTGTTGTGAGTGATCAGCAGCATGACCTTTATCACGCCTTTTTACCTTAACAATTTGATCACACGACAGGAAGAAATTTTGTGTTAGCGAGTATAAATTAAAGATCGCTCTGCTGATCATCGTCTGATGTACCGAAACATCAATGCACGTTAGAAACAATTTGGTATTGTAACATTGTTCTAAATAAAATGAGGCATACGATAAGTAACTCGATAAGCAACGAGAGAGAGATGTAATTATTATGCAAATAGTGCGGCGAAAATCAGCAGCATGCGTTTCAACAGGTACAATATGCGTGGACGCTTCATCGCGACCCTCGGTTGCACTTTAAGCGAACGAATATAACGAACAAAGCATCTTTTACGGCTTCCGGTTCATATGCAGAGGGATTAGTTAGGAAAAAGTTAGGGAAAAGAAAAACTCGGCACCTTATTTTCACTCACAACTACTTAGATGCGACTTGTTAGAAGCTAAGGAATCCCGTAAATTAATACTTATTTATAACCCTTAGGACGGCTGTAGAAATACGTTTTTCTACCAGAATTTCTGTGCCAACTGCAAAGAACGTTGTAGATGATTTTTGTTTCAAGTTGAAGCATCATTCTAATCTTGTAAGATACTCAGATATATCTTTATTAAATATATTTGAATTTCGTAGTATATTATATTCTGATATTGATTATACAGTTCATTTTTGTATATTGGTGTGTGATAAATAAATAAGAATATTGTTTCTAAGCAATACCTCGTGATGAAATAACTACCTATTACATAAAACGTCTATCTGTTATTATGATGGCACATCAGTTTTATAATTTTTGGCTGCTATAGAATTACCATAAATTCTTTATCCTAAAATTTCGTAATTTTTCCTTGATTTCCAAATAAAATTTTATGATTTTCCCTAATGCTTTAAATAATACTTTTGAAATTTTTTATATTTTCGTCCTGATTTAGAAATCGTCAAATATTTTGTTGAGAGAGAACAATTTAATATAGCAATGTAAATTACATTGTTACTATTAATATTCTTAACACTGTTTGCATTTACTTATTGAGTTGATAATATTCCTGCGCAGATGTAATGCATGTTAAATGCTTTTTTAAAGCCGAGAATTTTAAATTTCCAAAAATTTTGCAAAATTCTCTGAATTTTCCCTGACTATTTTCAATTTCCCTGACATTTTTCCCTGATTTTCAGTTTTGTTGAACCTCTATGATATAATATAATTGCTATATTAAAAAGAATAAGTTTTGTGACAGATTAAAGTACAAACAAAAAAATGTGAAATAATGAGATATCTTCTTACAATTAAATCTTTTCCAATTTCATCTTTTTTTTTAATAAACATTAACTATAGTAAATGTGGTGCAAGGTACTTTATTTTCTGGCTCTAGATAGAAGTACAGATATTCTGAAAAAATGTACCGAAGTACAGGGACGATTACTTTTACTTATTAATATAAAATTTCAGAATAAATAGACATTTATGATTTTATGTATCCGCGCATAATATTTACGTATTTTATATGTACATTGTACATAAATATTCTATGCGAGTAAGACGTTGCACAATAAAATGATAAAGCAATTTTTATATTAATTAGTTTTATTCAAATAATCCATTTAATATTTGATGTTAAGACGTATTTTCCAAAATTATTTGTTTGACAAAATAATGTCTATAAACCTAATATATGATAGTAGTTTTCAAAAAAACAATCTTAGGTTTATACTACAGCAGATATCTGAAGCGCCAATAATAAATACTACATAGATGTAACCTATCATTCTATCGATGAGAATTTAAATTGAAATAGCTCGCAATGTCGACTATCCAAACTTAAAAGAATTATGCTGAAATGTAAATATATCCAATAAATATCCAATTATAAAAAAATTTATAGAAAATTTATATAATACTTTTACGGAGTTTCGCGTCTGAATGAATTGAATGTACATTTTAATGAAGGGAAATATCCCAAAAGTAAAATATATCTAAATATAGATACCTGTACATAAGAAATTATATTTAGGTAATAAAAAAAAAAGTACTAAGGTACGTAAATTTGTACTTGTACGGTGATACTGCACAACAATGGTCATAGCTATCAAATATATAAAAATCATTAAATAATATTTTATGAAATAATATTTACTTTTTAACATTTCTGTTGTATTTAAAGAATTAATCATTTATTATAAATTATAATTTTTTAATTTATTGAAAATTATTACTCATTAATTACCGATTTTTTCGTCTTATATTAATCGTATGACAAATAAATAAATAGTATATTACAATGATAATATAATGATACAGAAGGAAAATATAATAGATATAAAATAAAACTCGCCGTTTTATACTTACGTTTCTTTGATCATAAAAAGACCATTTCTTTATTAGCTAATATTTCTATAAATATACATACATTCATAACACACATAAAAATAATTCGGATATGTATAAGTACTTCTCTTAATATTCCATTTTCGTATAAACAATGCGAATCATTATGCTATTTTTTTCTAATAAATTAATATTATCTATTTTTAATTAATTTCAAAAAAATATGTATCGCTTATTTATATACAAGCAGAATAAAAGAAATATTAAAGTCAGACTTTTATATCTGACTTTTATATTTATAGCAAGGAATTGTAAATAAAATATAAATATACTCACACGCGTTATATACTTAGTGTACTCGTGGCACTTCGAAGTCCATGATAAAAGTTATTCCCACGATCTTCATGATCAAAGATCTTCATCTTTTATCCACCTATGTGAAATACATGAATAATAATGTTAGAATAAAATAGAAATTGAATTAGAAATGATTTTTAATGACATTTCTATAAAATAATGTTTTAAAACTCCCTTTTGTCAAATATTTATTAACTTTATTTCGCGTACTATACATATATATTCGTAAAAAATTTAGTTATTTAGTAAAAAATATCTTTCGTATACATATTTTATTAATTTAATTTATACATTTAATCGAAATTATATCTCGCATTTTTTATAAATTTTTTTCAACTGATACATTATTATATTAAAAGCATTTAAAGCGAATATTTATAAAAATATCTTCATAATTATTTATAAAAAAAATATGATTTTAAGAATTTACAATATTCATTGGGAGTAAAATTATACACACGCACAAATATTTTTATTAAGAATTATTAGACTCTTGGCTCATTGGTTGGGAAATTTATTTTGGTATCTCTCAAAACAAATGTTTGATATTATTATTTCATATTTATTTCAATTTTTGAAGATTACATGTTACATATTATTTTAATGATAGGTTTATGAATTACAGTCTACATACTTTTAAATATTCATATATTGGAAATTAATAGATTTATATATATTGGAAATTACATATATTGGAAATTAATGGATTTATATATAACATATAGTTTAGCATAATTTTGTATTGTTCTACATATTAGATGATACAGATTAATATTTTTTTGTAAGTCTACATATTATGCATTTTATAAATTTAATGAATAGAGGCTGTGCAAGAGTAACGTCATATTATAATAAAAACCAATTTATCTGCATATCAATTTATGATTTTAACATTAAATTTGCATTGTATGTAATTTTCAAATTTTAAATTTATTCTATTTACAATGCAATATTTTAATATTTAAAATATCTTAGTACATCCAAACATCAATCTTGTTCGAACAATCAGAATATTAAAATGTTTATACATAATTTGATAGGAAGTCATGTCAAGATTAAACGTTAGATTTTAATGTCTCGTTTAACTTATTTTCGAATTATAAAACATATTAAGTACAAAAAAAAATTAGATTTATCGTTAAGCCTCTAATTCAAATTAACTTATATATGTAATATTAAGTATGATGATTATAAAATTCAAAATTCATCTTTCACTTTATGTAGTATTAATCACTTATTCAAAGTTTTTTACTTTGAATATTTTATTTTAAATTATCCCATAAATCTTCTTGGTCCTTTACTTCGTGTCAATAATTAAATCCATCTGCAGTTGAAAATTTTAGGAAAAGGACTGAAGGAATCCGAAATTAATGTTTTGTAAAAAATTAGGTAGATTGAATTAAATTATACGAAGTAATGAAGATAGAATTTTCAAAGGAATTATTTCGCGTTCTTAATTAAAGATATCGCGTTATTAATTAAAAATATCGAATTTTGATTCGTGTGTAAATTCCATATTTTAATTTAAGGTTTAATTATAGGTCAGGTTTATACATTCCTGTTTATCCAGTGGCCGCGAAAAATAATCTGAAAATTATGGAATAAATTATAAAAAAAAAAAGATAAAAGAAAATTTAAATTCAGCGTTTATAACAGAAAACGACACGAATAAAGCGAGAGATAATTTAATTTTTTGTTTTGTTAAAGATCTATTAGCTTGTTACAAGAAAAGAAATTAAACGAGACTAAATCTTCCTTAGAATAGAAAATTTCTGTTAATGTTATCTGTTACGAATTTAATGGAGCAATATTTGCGTATCATTACCGTATTAATCTTCGTTCGCCGATCAATTAAGGACGATTTCTTTCATTTATCGGTTTCTGCATATTGGGCATTATAGGCCGCCGTGCATAAGGAAGATTAGCCGCCAATGAATTAGCAACAATGCTATGAAATAATAATGTCAGGAAAAAAACATTTAGAGGAGTATGGATAATTAAAATAAAAGAAAATTTATAATGGTTTATTTTTTTCGTAGGTGTTTACTTGGAAGGTCGTGTATATGGGGTAGTGCGGTAACGCGAGGCTGCGCCTGACGTCGTTGTAGTCTTGTAAGATTTCCAAGCGCGGCTCGACGACTCGTCTGCGAATTACATGGATTGATGCGCTTTAATCATTTAGGCAGAACACGATAGTAATTCCTTAGTATAGCGAGTTATTCAAATTCTCAAAGATAGCGATATGTCATCATGCGACATCAATGCTTATTTGTTATAGTCATGCATATTTGTTATAGTTTACGGCAGGGTTTAAATTTCGTTATTACAGTGAATTTAAGTTACGCCCAGGATGCTTCAATTGAAATAGCAGGATTCATAAATTTGGGAAATGTGAATTATTATGTATTATATGCTTTTACGTTAAATATATAGGGAGTTCCGCAAAACTTCTCCCATCGCTCATAGGAAAGTAGATAGGATCGAGATGAAGTCCCATACAGTTTAGCGATATTTGCAATAATAATCGATAAATTAATTAAGACTTTA